AAAACGATCGAAGAACGTTATTTAACGTTTAACAGCGTTTACAAATAAACGTTGAAGAACGCTGGTCTCAAATGAGAACTTTTGTGCATGTTCAAAACAGCGTTCTCCGCCGATCCCCGACGATCAGCAACGATTACCGACGTTCACTAGCGTTCTCACGGTGCTCTTCTGGCGCTGTCCTAGCGACTTTGGGCGACTACCAACGTTTCCTCAAACGCCAGAGAACGCTAGCCAGAACGTCATGGTGTGACGGGGTCTTAAGCACTAAGGCGGCATATGCTGCTTTCCTCCAAATAACATGTATAAAATATAATTCAGGCAAGAAACGCCAGCTGAAATTACTACAAAATGGACAGATTTGTCATGATTTCTTCCTTAAATATTCTCAGAAAAGCAGTTAGTTTTGAAGTGTCTAATCGAGAGTTGCCCAGATCCGTAGGTCTTCTGTACTTGTCAATAAACAAAGCTTTACACATGAGTCTAACATCTGACTTAATTGAAGTACGCCCTCACACATCGCGTTCAGGTAAAATGCCGTGAAAACAAAACACCGGTTAACAACTACCACCATATACGAACGCTGGTAGGCTACCAGATGCACATATGTACCGAAATCTAGCAGGTTGTTCCCCGTAGTCAGAGCAATCCCTCCTGTTGTTTCCATAATACCTGGGTTCACGTCTCTGCTAACGTTTAATGAATTGGTATTTGCATCAATGGCTACCTCCGCTGAAAAGTTTATAAAAATTCGTCCATAACTTGTTGACTTACGGGAGAAAAATCATTCCCGAAATTACAGTTTCCATGGCAACTGGACGAACATGAATAAGGAGGATCTTCTGTTGGTCATTGTACTCATGGAACGTTATTAGAGAAATGAGAGGAGAGATAACAAGTTTTATTCAAGAGTTTTATCTTTTGTTTTCTTTCTTTCAAACCTTTTGGTTGACGCATTATCGCTATTTTTCTTTTCAATCCATCAACATCACCTATTTGACAAAGCAAATATTTCGACCACAACTTGCTACGTATGAGAGAAAAAAAGATCCATGCGCAAAATGGTTCACACTATGTCATAGTTTTGGATGATTGACATTGTCAATGACCTAAGTACCAACCTGTTAGTTGTTTTCTAGCGTCGGTAGTTTGAACAATTGTTTCAGTTGTCCCTGGAGTATTTGAGTGGTCCAAGTGGGTTTTTTTCAATAAGCTCAGTCTGCACTAATTAGTTATGCTATTATGTTTCCAACATTTTCATAACTAACTGACATATAACTGAAAATGTTATATGTGTATTAAATATTATGCGGGGATCCTGATAGTATCACGGAAACAATTTTTTGGGCATAATTTCTAAAATTGATACTGCGAATATTTATTTTGTTTTTCTATTTAGATGTATCGTTTTAATTTTGACATGACATGAGAAACAAATATTTGTCAATACATTGTGTATAGTCAAGTATCACTTTCTGTGATCTGGCCATATTGTGTGATTTATATTAACATTAAATATACAGGCTGTTATGCGACCTTTTTGCAAGAAATCTGTAGAGATATATTGGGAAAACGTAGTAATCATACGTTACTGTTCGTTATCCTGCACGCCATGATATTTTTGTGTGCAGTTGATATTAATTTATCTTCATAATACTCCGACCGTCTCTGAGATAACCTGAATGCGGTTGACGTAATCGAACTACGAGTTTGTTTACTAAGTATATAAATATAAACAATCATGGAAAACGATACTATACTCTAACCTCTCGTACTTTCATGTTGTGCATGATTTAATCACATATATGCCTGTTTTCATTGAGAAACACAATCACACTTTCTCATAACTTTAATTAGGTCTATAATATCTGACTGAATTCCCATCAATATCTACCTGTCATTACATAATGCTATCTTAATTCTTATCCTGACTTTCACAATTATCCTATCATGTCCTGACAATAAAGGTGTCAATCTATTTCAAATAAAACATGTACAATTTTATAGTTTTGTAATGGTTTTATTGATCTTCATTATCCATTGCCGTCCCCCCTTGCCGTGTAAGTAAAAAAGTGGGTATTCTGTGTGCATGCACTTTAGGTTCATTTGGTACAATAATTATGTTCTAGGGTAAGACAATTTGCTAAAAAAAAACCACGAGAACTTCGAATTGTTCAACAAAGTAACTTTTTATTCCTATGTTATTCTTAACTATTGACATTTCGATTTGTAGATGTATCACATGTAGTAACTTAGCAACCATAATACTTCAGTAGATTTCAAATCTCTGGGTTCCTCTGGATTCAAGTTTGAACTTGTGCTCTGGCCCTATCACATTTTTTGGCTTATACATCTTTCTATCTATGTATGACTACAACGCCTGTTTTATTTATGTCAATTTCCATCCCTATCGCTTCTAGTCTAAAGTCTATTTGCTTGTATATTTTGGGAGTGGTGGGGAAGGTTTCATCATATTTTTGGCGATGTACACACACAATTTTGGCAGTTTTTTGCACAGTCTGCTATGGGTGTAACAAACACGATCTCATTCATGCGAGTAGTGTTTTTCTAGACCATGTTGTCTTTGTGTTTGAGTTGGATGTTTATTCCTAAGCCCTCTTCTAGTCCATTGTGAAATTGCTTGAAGTGTATTTTTTATTGGAAACTTCAGAGAATTCATGAATTGTGGTGAGATAGCATATACTGCATGGGAAATTGCTGCAATTAACTTGCATCCTATAAATTTGTCTTGTATATGTAACTAGTCTTACCATTCTATTTGTTTCGTGGACTTAATATAACACTCTTATTCCCATAGTAATTCACCTGGCTTTATATAATCCTCATACAATAAACACATATGACATTATATTGGTCAGTTCATTCGTAGGGTAGACGTCTCGTAACTTTGTTGGTTAACCTGTTGGTTACGCGCTATAGCGTAATATCCTGCAAATCCCAACAAATAATGAAGTTGGTGTATTTTCCATTCCGGGTATTGAGCAGTTTCTCAGTGCTACCAAAAAACCACGAAGAAATAACATGTCCAAATAACTTCACACAGTCATTGCTTAATTGCCACTTTGTATGCTTAATATTTTAAGGTTGGCATCACCCACACGAAAGTGATGTACTTCAAACCCGTTTTTAGAATAGTAGTTTTGCTGTTGAGATGGCAACCAATAAAAATGTTAACCAGAACAACAGACTTGCCTGCAAGCTACGCTTACTAGCAAGCCCAGTTACACTAATTTGGTTCGATATATCTACATTGCTCGCACAGCAAACGGTGTTTATAACATCACCAGTCGTACAAGTCATACACACAACCACAACTCGTATATGTGATGACGTAAATACAAACACTTATTCGTTATTCTCAGTTTCGGAAACCGTTGGCCCATCAAAACGAGGTACTGTCACTATGGCGTTTATGGTATTTTACAGTTTGGGATATTGTATACTACCTATCATAGCTTACTATGTTCGTGATTGGTCAGTTCTGGTTCTCATTATCAACCTCCACCCTATCGTATACCTCTCCTATTGGTGGTAAGTATCACGTCCACAAAATTGTTTTTCCAACTTATATTATTTCAAATCTCCAGCTTAAATTGTATTTCAAAGTACTGGTCCTAAATTACCGTTCTATATGCACACTTTGTTTGTACGTATGAATAGCATGTCATGGCTCTATGTTCATACTCATCGTAATGAAGTGATACTAATGTATTAATACCACAATCTGCAACCTAACATATAATTAGATGTATCAATATTCTTAAGGATACTCGCTGAATCGCCACGCTGGTTACTCTCGGTCGGCAAAGTGAAGAAAGCTAAGAAAGTCATGCAGCGAATGGCTAATGTCAACAAGGTCGTGCTTCCCGATAATATCTTCGAGACTGGAATATTTGAAAGCTTGAACAGCAAGGACAGTGATTTGAAGGTAAGTCGTTGACATGTGCATATTTCGTAGTCCGAACTAGAATAAAATATCAACGCCATGATGCACGGGTAACATAAATACCAACCTACTTAAACCAAAAGAAGATCTCAAATCTTTCGCATGGCACTAATATCATGTGTATAAGCCTACTTGATGTGACACGAGATCACACATTTTAATTCATTTTGGCTTAACTCGTAACTGAACATAATAAGGAATAGGGAAATTATTTTTGTTCCAGAATCCATCGCCAGAGAGTGGTACAACTGATACTTTTTTCAGACTTTTCTATTATCCGAATACTAG